TGGCGGGTAGGGGGGCGCATTGAGGAACCTGGCCTTGGGGCAGCAAAGAGAGTAAATCCCGCCCTGCATGAGAGCGTTAGTTTTGGGCAACATCACATGAACAGGTCCTTAGTCCTTAGGTCAGGTGTTTGCAGCAGAATTCCAGATTGTACCACGGTTTTTATCCACAATGAAAACGTTTTTTGCTGTATGTATGATGTACTCTATATGGTGAGCTATGGAGAGGTGAATGGTGCATTACACAGGACAGATATTTCTCAGCAATATTGGAACAGTCCAGAGACAAGGCAACTCTATCTGATGAGATCTTCATCAGCCCACACACATATATATATGTATGCTGGCATACATATATGCCACAGAGTATGCTGGCAACACAGTCACCCAGGTTCCAGAAAATAAATAGTTTTGCAGGGTTGAAGCTGGCCTTTCAGTTTCTTCTGGTTTTTCTGGATTGTAACTGGGATCTGAAGCTCTGGAGATTTCTTAGAGTTCTGGGTGGGATGAAACCTCCAGTCCTGAGGTCAGGTGTTGCCAGTGGTCAGGTGGCTGAGAGCAGCCTTATTAAGTGCCCAGCCCAGAGCTCAGGGGAGAGTTGGTGGTGTGTGCTGGAGGCACACGAGGGTCAAGCCAAGCCAGTGGTGTGTGGGTGTGCAGGAGGCACAGGGCCACAAGCAGACTCAGGTGCGTGCTAGACGCGTGTGGAACAGCCAGAGGAGGCTGGGAAAGGTCAGTGACCCAAGAGACCTGGTGGACACACTGCTGAGAGAGCAGTCTGAGTGCTCACGAGGGATGATCGGAGTGAGTATCACACAGAGGTGTGCTAAAGACTGTGTATGCTGAGGAAAAGCAGATTATTATGAGAAGCAGGTGAACTGTTCTGTTTCATTTATATTGAAGAGGAATAAAGACTGTCCTGTTTATATTTAAGTTGGATGGTCCTTAAGCGCTCACCATTGGGCTATATTCCCCAAACATCACAATATACATATATGTATATATATATATATATATCATCTAGATGTGGTCAAGATGATCTGCTAAAGTTCAAACCAAGCATCAGAATGGGGAAGAAAGGGGATTTAAGTGACTTTGAACGTGACATGGTTGTTGGTGCCAGATGGGCTGGTCTGAGTATTTTAGAAACTCTCTCGGGTTTACAGAGAATGGTCCGAAAAAGAGAAAATATCGAGTGAGCGGTGGTTTTCTGAGTGAAAATGCCTTGTTGAGGTCAGAGGTGAATGACCAGACTGGTTCAAACTAATAGAAAGGCAACAGTAACTCAAATAACCACTCGTTACATCCGAGGTATGCAGAATACCATCTCTGAACACACAACACATTGAACCTTGAAGCAGATGAGCTAGAGCAACAGAAGACCAGAAAAGGTGCCACTCCTGGCAGCTAAGAACAGGAAACGGAGGCTACAATTTCCAAGGGCTCACCAAAATTTTAGAAAACAGAAGATTGGAAAAATGTTGCCTGGTCTGATGAGTCTCCATTTCAGCTGCAAAATTCAGATGGTCGGGTCAGATTTTGGCATCAACACGAAAGCATGGATCCATCCTGCCTTGTACCAATGGTTCAGGCTGGTGGTGGTGGTGGTGGTGTAATGGTGTGGGGAAAATGTTCTTGGCACACGTTGGGCCCCTTAGTACCAATGGAGCATTTTTTTAATGCCACGGCCTACATGAGTATTGTTGCTGACCATTTCCATCCCTTTATGATCACAGTGTACCCATCTACTGATGGAAATTAATGATATGGAGGAATAGAACATAAGGATATCATAGAACACCAATATTACAACCATCCATGGTCATATCGCCTGGCCTGGGGGACCTCACGATGTATCCCAAGATTTCCCATGATGTTTTAGCAGGAACTCCTGCTACACAGTCAAAAGACTCCAGTAATATATTTAATGCCTCCTGAAGAAGCTGAGTTTTTGAAAACAAATGGTAATATGACCAAAATGAGACTATGATTTAAGTTTGCTTTAATTTTTAGTATTGGCGCTTGGACCATCTCCACAAAGTATGACGGCACGCTTCAAGAATACGCCACCAACTTTGAAGTGAAAGAGTATGGTAAGCATATTTGTTCAGACTACTTGTATGGCCAAGTCCCGCACACATGGTGCTGGCAACTGGGTTGCCCAGTTTTAAAACAAACCTGCCTGGTGGAGTCAAGGACAACAATAAGAACCCTGGAGAGGTTCTAACCCTTCCACATGGTAATAAAGCAGTGTTTTTGTTGCTGGAGAGATTTCACCCCATTTCCTGACCTAAAGACAGTGGTTGGCAGGTCAGGAAATCTCCTGAATGGGGATATAGGTCACACAGAGGCACACACGTAGGGTTGCCACCTGTCCCAGATTCAGCTGGACAGTCCAGGTTTTGAGTTCTGTATGTTTTGTTTCCAGGTTTCAGGCCGGCTGAAACCCAGACACAGCACTTAGAGGACTCAATCCAGACAGTCCAGGTGAATCCGGGACAGCTGGCAACCCTAGCACACAGGTTCTAAACCATGATAACAGGAGTGTTTTTATTACAGCAAGGGATGATTTTTATTTCTCCAAAATTTCAACAATTTCGGGAGAACCACAGGAACCAGGGAGTCAATAAACCCGAAAGTGGCGGTTACCTAAAATTTTTGGCTACACAGATGTTAATCTCAATTAATTAATTCATTAAAGCTGAACCAGACCCACCAATGTAATGTCTCCCAATACAGTTACTTTTCAGGTATGCCAACTATCAAGGTTGCCAGTGTGCTTACTTCAGCTCTCAAGCAAACTTGCAAGCCCTAAATGGCTGCTGTCATAATGTAGGTGATCACACGTGCAGCACCATGGCAACTGCAATCCAAACGGAGGCTAAGATGGCAGCTACCTTGGCTGTAAAGAATGGGAGGTTGTAGTTAAACTTTAATATCCGTGCAATATAAACTCTTTGAAGGAAAGCTCAATAGCAGATACAATATTTCAACCAATCTATGGTGAGACAATCATTTTGTAAATACATTAAAGCCCAACTGAACCTTCAGTTTATATCAGCTAAATACAATTCAGTTGGATCAAAACAAAATGTGTTTAAAGTCTTATAGTTTGCTTTAAAATGCAGCCACAGCCCGAGCAGAAAAGCCTGTGCCCTGCCAGCATGCCCCAGAGAAGGACTCTTGCTATGTGGAAGCAATGGTCTCTCTGCAGAGGTCCAACACACCTTCCGCTAAGTCAGACCTTTAGCTCTAGAGTGAAAAAGACTCATGGTCCCTGCTGATTGGAAAGCTCTAGGAATGGCTACTGATTGGAGAGCACTAGCACTGACTGTTGATTGGAGAGCTCCAGCTCTGACTGTTGATTGGAGAGCTCTAGCACTGACTGCTGACTGGAGAGCTCTAGCACTGACTGTTGATTGGAGAGCTCTAGCACTGACTGTTGATTGGAGAGCTCTAGCACTGACTGTTGATTGGAGAGCTCTAGCACTGACTGTTGATTGGAGAGCTCTAGCACTGACTGTTGATTGGGGAGCTCTAGCACTGACTGTTGATTGGAGAGCTCTACCACTGACTTTTGATTGGAGAGCTCTAGCAAAGTCTGTTGATTGGAGAGCTCTAGCACTCACAGCTGAATGGAGTGCTCTAGAACTGACTGTTGATTAAAGTGATCTAGCACTGTCTGTTGAGTGGAGAGCTGTAGCACCATCTGTTGATTGGAGAGCTCTAGCACTGACTGCTGACTGGAGAGCTCTAGCACTGACTGCTGACTGGAGAGCTCTAGCACTGACTGCTGACTGGAGAGCTCTAGCACTGACTGCTGATTGGAGAGCTCTAGCACTGACTGCTGATTGGAGAGCTCTAGCACTGACCGCTGACTGGAGAGCTCTAGCACTGACTGTTGATTAAAGAGATCTAGCACTGTCTGTTGAGTGGAGAGCTGTAGCACCATCTGTTGATTGGAGAGCTCTAGCACTGACTGGAGAGCTCTAGCACTGACTGCTGACTGGAGAGCTTTAGCACTGACTGCTGACTGGAGAGCTCTAGCACTGACTGTTGATTGGCAAGCTCTAGCATTGACTATAATTTGGAGAGCTCTAGCACTGACTGTTGATTGAAGAGCTATAGCACTGACATTTATTGGATGGCTATAGCTCTTCCTCAGCAGGGGGTGTGGCCGATCCCTGCAGAGAGTTTACTGCTTCCACACAAGCGAGGGTCTTCTCTACAGCATGCTGACAGTAGACAGGATTTTCCACACTTTAAAGACAATGATCTGTAAGGCTTTGCACACATTTTGTTTTGATGCACCTGGATTATATTTAGCTGATTTAAACTGAAAGTTTAGTTGCGCTTCACTTGCCCACAAAGAAGAAAAAGCAAATATAATGATACGCACTGTTACATTTAATTGCAGATATGTAAAGCACGTTCACTAAAATTCATCTTACCTTTTCTATTTCCAGTGTTGCCAACTTTTGAAGTCAGGATAACACCAGATCGGAATTTCATGTATATTGATGATGACACATTTTCTGTGACAATAGAGGCAGTGTGAGTACCTGTCTACACATGTGGGTGATAGCTGTACCATAGGTGTGGCAATGGTTTAGTTCTCAGCAGACGTGAACATATTTTTAAAGCTGAATTCTATTAAATTGCCCTGCAGTGGACTGCAATACTCACCCTAACTCCAGCACTGTCCTTCACAGACTTACCGCTATTCCATCTATCCTCTTCTGGGTTGAATGACTGCCAACTTAATCCAACCCACTACTGTGAGACCAAGGTCACATCACCCAGCCTGGGCTCAAAAGAGAATGCTGCAGAGAGTGGCCCAGTGTAATTTGAGTCGCTCTTCTCTGCAGCATGTAGGACCCGTTCACCACCAGAGGAAGAAGAGGAAGACCCAGGGCCACTCGTATAATGAGGCAGCTGGATGCGGTTGCCTCAGGCAGCATCTCATTGGGGGGCAGCCAGGTGGTGGTGGGTGTGGCAGGGGGATGGCCAGATGGTGATGGGGCACAGGGGGGCAGCCAGGTGGTAGTGGGGGGGGCAGGGGGCGGCCAGATGGTGATAGGGCGCAGGGGGGCGGCCACAGAATCACAAGTTGCTAAGAGCTCTTAGAAACCTGTGACTCTCTGCCTGGCATTCCACCCGGCTCACTGACATCACCAGTTGCCAAGAGAGAGTGGGATGCTCTGGTTTGCACTCCGCCCAGCTCACTCACGTCACTGGTTGCCAGAAGCTTGGTGGGACAGAGCCACTGAGAGCGCAGTTGGATGTCTTCCGCCACCCGCGCAACTAACACCTGCACACACAAGACTTTGCCTTAGATTGCGAATACTATAGGGAAAGCCCTGGGAAGACCTATGGCGTCATTCTATTGGTCCAGTGACAGTTAGAAAAAAGAGTTTGGGGGGGGTGAGCAAGTGAGCTTGTGCCCCCCTATCCTGAACCATACTAGGCCACATACTCTCAACATGGGGAGTGTAGCATGCCAGGGTGTGTGTTGATGGGGACAAGGACCTCATCCCCACATCCTTCGCCTGATGGAGGAGAGAGTCTGCAGGGGGGCTTATTGGAATCTGGAAGCACCCTTTAAAATAAGGGTCCTCCACATATATCCAACTTCCTTCTAAATGAGTAAGTGGTATATAATACTGCTTGTTACTCATTCACAAAAAGAAAACAACATGTAAATAACTTGTCCAGCAATGTAGATCCATCATCAATCATGATGAACAAAGCCCCATACAGCTGACGACCCCACTGGACTTTTGCCACCCGTGACATCTCTCTGGCTAGCCGCTAAATGTCAACAAGCCAACTGGCTGATGTCATTAATCAAATATGGTCATGACCATATTTGATCAATGGCATCACCTGTGATACCCACTAACTTGTTAACTATGTAAACCAAACTGGCAGGTGGGCTGGAAAGTCACTTTAGCTATTTGACATTCGCCAAAGAAGCAAACTACATTTTACCTGTTTGACGACCTGAAACTCTAGATGCAGTATCACTACCTCCACCAAACGAGTCACTTCCATCTTCAGTAGCAGGCATAGGATCGGACAAGCTAAAAAAACGAAACTCAGCTAGACTTCAGGTCAAACTCTCTGTTTACCCAAACCCAAAGTTCATCCCTTGCCTTAACTACGGGTGGGGTGGGGGGCAACATCTAACTGGTGTACTATTTGCCTACTGTACAGTAGTACAGTCTGCCTGTCCCTCTCATTGCTATTTATTAGTAACCTGATGACCTGGGAACCTCTTTTTCTTAGTTGTTTTCAATGAAGGAAAGATATTCCATACCACACACACTGAAAGCTCCTCTCTGTCTTTCACACCCAGAAAGCCCGATGTAGTGAAATGTCAGTAGTAACTGCAGAGCAGTTACTTCATCACTGCCACCAATCAAAATCAAGTCTGCCTGAAAAGTTAGAAATGAACTGGTGATACTTCAAGCTGAGAGTGGATATTACACAATGATAGTTTTAGGAAGCAGAGCTGATTATAGTGAACTATACAGAACTCAGATTGGGGTCTTTCGGAGTGTAGCAAAGGCATCACTGATATATTGTTTGTACTGGAATTGGACTTTATCATTAACACTAAGCTTCTTTTATATTCAGCTACACATATGGGAAAACCGTTTTTGGCAATGCCTTTGTCTTATTTTCCCTGAAGAAAGACGCTGAAAAGAAAACAATGGCAGGTTCCTTGAGGAGGATCGAGGTAATCAAGTAAAATCAATCCGTATATCTCTATCTTTTGTAAATCTTTGTACATCTTGTATCTTTATTATTTATTGTATATTTTACTATTCAAGGATTATTCAAGGGGTAATTTAAAGGTTCCTTCCATGCGATAGCTTCCTCCTTTTCTGGGACTATCTAATTACCGGCTGTATTAGCCAACTCCTATGCCCTTCCCTTCACCTTCCTGCATAACCTTTTATGTAGCTTCCATGGTAGGTTTTGACAGGATTACTATAGAGCATCCTTTCTCAACCACAGCTCCACAGATCCCTAAGGTTCCTTCTGAGGTTGCTAGGAGTTCTGGAGCAGTGAGCAGTGACAAATTGATCTCTCATCTGCACTGTCCACCAGAACTAGCGGGACACATTTGCACTGACCACCAATATTACAGGACACAATTTTGGCTGTCTGCAAGATTGTTACAGAAAATAATTATGGCATATTTAGCAGTTGGGTGTTAAAAAATGATCTGGCCTGGGTGTCAAATCCTCCAGGTACATTACATTATTTATTCTTTTATTAAAAATGATCTACAACTTACTAATTACACTAATGTACCACAAGCTGTAGGTATTATTTCAACCTGTGAGACCTGTGCATTATTTCAAGGGTTGAGGTTCAAGGTTTAGGTTCAAGGTTGAGGTTCAAGGGTTAAAAGGTTGAGAAAGGCTATAGAGTGCCTAAAGAGTCTGTTGACATCACATCCAAGATGGCAGTGTGACGGACTGCCTGATACCCCAACTGGATATCTCCGTCTTTGGGCTGTTCCCTGGGTGCTGGAACCAGAAGCCAGTGAATATAGCATGGGCATACCCCCAGGAATCAGACAATACTGACTTTGTAGTGGAAATATGAACTGGTTTATTGAAGAAAGCACACAGAGTTTATACCTCACAGAATCAGATAAGAGTTCAGTGTGTTACATTGACCAATCCCCTCCCCTTGACAGCCGGATGCCGCATTGGAATTCCTTAAGCACACACACTCTTTGAACCTAATGAATGTCCTTAATTAGATAAGAGCTTGATCCCATCATCCCAAAAAATGGGCACTCCAGACAGTCTTCTGCCTTCACCAAATGATGTTTAGCAGAGATGGTATCCAAACAAGATGGAAGTCCAGATGGTTCAAATCAAGTCAAATAGTGAAAAGCTCTCCCTCTAGATAAAATATTAAACAGCAAAACACACACAGCAAACCAAGTTCTCTGGGGCAATAAACCTCTGCAGCCCTAGGTCCATCACAGGCAGTGCCTAGCAGCAGTCTCAGGACTTTTGAATGTCTTCACAATTAAGTATTCAACAGGTAAATAGCATCAGGAAATACAGAAATACACATACAATCATATGGGAAGGTTTTCTGTGGAAATTAATGGTCTAGCGACAGGGTCTCTTTAATTTGTGAGGCTTCCATTTCCTTACACAGAGTTGTTGTGGTGGCAGCTTGATTGTTTAGCCCTTATAGGTACAACATTGGTTGTCACCTCCTCAGCAAAGAGCATTCCACCTTTGCTTCCTATTTATGGAATTTTCATTCTTAAAATTTGTTGTGCCCTCATGATGCATCAAAGACAGAAACCATATGATTTTATTTATTTTGTCTTTTCTATGCTATCTTCTCCCATGCTGATAACGTGGATCTTCTCTAAATTTCATCTAGATAGATGATGGGACGGGAAGAGCTACCTTGCTCAGAGACGATCTCCTGAAGGCCGTCAGTAAACCAGAGGATCTTTTACAGTATAGATTGTCTGTGTCAGCCACCGTCATCACTGAAGCAGGTTAGACAAGTGAATGCTAAAGCGTATCTAAACCAGAAATAAGTCCTTTATTTTACCTGCTAATTCCTGTCCTATGGTGACAACACTCTAATTTCACTGCATCTATAGGGGGAGCCATGGTTGTCACACAAGACCACTTAAGGGTCTTCCTTAAGGCTAGCCAGAGGTCTATATAACAAAATATATACTGAACCAGCCAGACAACTAGGTTAAGTGGGAATGGCACGAGACAGTTGGTCTAAGGGGACATAAGGTATAACTCTGACCCTGATGTTTATGGTTTACCACAGGTTTTACATAAATGTTATTTTTGCAAAGACTTAAGGTAAGAAGCCAGGGGCTAAAATATCACTTTTGGTTAGACTGACCTTTTAGTCTATATGAGAAAGAAATGATAACATTTTATAGATGACAATAATGTTGGCAACAGTCTGGTGCTACTTACTAAATGTGTATATTTCAGGAAGTGACTGGGTGGAAGCTGAACTGGACAATATGTATATTGTTCAGTCTGCATATAAAATCCTCTTAACCAAGACATCCAAATACTTCAAACCTGGAATGCCCTTCCATCTCATGGTATGTGTCCAATATCAACCCGTATTAATTTATGAAATATTTTTTTTGTTTACCTGAAAATGTAGCATTGTCAGGGAAATGGTTGGTTGGTTGGCTGGTTTCATGGCTATAGATGAAAGCCCAAATATACATACATATCCTTTTCATTTATGGTCCTTATACATACAAATAAAAAAGGTCTCACTTAAATTAAACATGTTCTTTGCCCATGCAGGCCAAAGCCAAGGGATTATTTAACTGTTTCCCTCCCCAGAAGAAAATGCTTACCTTTGCGGGAATTAATGCGGCAGGAAGGGTAGTTAATCACATGGTCCGCCATACCCAAAAGTCCCGGGCATTGTTCCACAACCACAGCAGCCACATAGAATGGG